CCCCCAACCCCACCACCAGCACCACCACACACATACTCAAACACATGCACGTACATACACCCTCAGACATTTCTACATGGACACCCCAACATACATTCTCCAAAACATGAAACAAAGATTAACCTCGATCTGTAGATCGCACTCAGGACTTGTAAAAATTTTTTTAAAAAAATAGGGAATAGTTGAACAGTACCATCGGTAGGCCCTACTTCTTTTCCTTTCCCTCTGTTTCTGTCTATCTTTCTTTCTTTTTCACTGTACTAAATGACCAATATTGCATCAATGCAAACCAAAATACTTGTAAGGAGAACAGTATGAAGATATGGAAAGTGCTCCTCTGGCCATTAGCCGAAGTAAGGGTGTATCTCACTGCTCTGTGTGCTCAGCTGTTGGCTGCGGGCGTGCCAATACCAATGTTGTACAGTTTCCCCTGGGTTGACTGTTGTCGTCGTCGGGGAAAGATTCCTGCGTGCTTTTTGTACTTGCTGAGAGAGATGGGAGAATGGTGATCTGCATTCACTTGTTTAGCTGACAAAGTTTTATCGCCTTGTACAAATCCTGTGAAATTGTTCACCTTTGATTAATTTTTTTGTGTTGGAATGTAGATTTTTTGGGGTTTCTCTTCCTTTTTCTGTGTGATTTATGAGAGTTTTCATTCGTTTTTTTTCCCCTTTCACCTGTGCTGGGAAAAGAGGCTGACTGGTGGAGGAACTCGGTGTTGGTTGCTTTTAGTTTTTAGAAGAACCTAAGACAGAGATGCCAACCAGTACGATTTTACGTATTTTAGTACGATTTTTTGCCGAAAATACGCGAATACGACTTTTGATGAAAAAATATGCATCCTGGAATTCGAAAAATACGAGATCCAGTTTGGGCTAGTAAACCTAATTATCTCAAGTCCCCTCTTTTGTCAAAATAGTATCAGTATCGCAGAGCTGGAATATGTGAAAACCAAGTCTGATAAGGTCAGTTAGTTCATTTTTGCCATTATTGATTTTTTAATATACACTCGAGGGGAGGAGGTGTGAAGGCAACACCAGAGGACAAAAACTTGGGAGGCAAATTTCAGAATTTTGATTAGATATCCAGAGCTCTCTGCAAAGCGCGCGTTGGTGCAGGCGTGTGCGGAATCGGGACCCTTCGTACTTTGCAAGTCTGTGTAATTGAAATAAAATGTTCGCGTGTCATTGGATGGGTGATAGATCTAGTAAATTATACCTACAGTGTATGTTGTAGATTTCTGTACAAGACGGGCAGATTTTCAGTGTCACTGCATCTTGCCCTCCCACAGTTGTTACAACTCTCTCACTGCGTGGGTCTACTTGAGCCATTCAAGTTATTTATCTTCTCTGAGTTTGAGCAATAATTTTAGTCTGTCAGTTCATAATATGAATCATGACACCCAGACTGGTTCTTGATAGTCGAAATTCTTGTTGTAGGCCCTTCCGAACTCTCAAAACAGGATTAATTTTTTATATTAATAATGAGAGGAAAATATTATAACAGACTGAAATAGTTAAGTCAAACAAGACCCCAGTACGACACTGAACACTGACATGTTGTTGACTGGATACATGTTTATTGTACGCGTGTGTGCTCCTTTTATCGAGCAGCTGAGCTAGTGAATTTTTTTCAGGAAATATTGCTGGACACCCTGAACATTTTACTAGTTGGTTGGTCGGTTGTGGAGAATACACATTTTCCCCTGAAAATACACCTTTTCATATTTCCCAATACTCATTTCGGTTTTCTGTGGTTGGCATCTCTGCTAAGATTTCCCTAAGATGTTGAAGATTCTGCCTTCTCCACTAGTGTTGTGATGGGACGATGTGTAGCGTGGACAAGAATGGCCGGACTGTTTGCGATTGCTTTGGTTAGGGCTGTTAAAGGTGGCTTCTAGTCAATTCTGCATCTTTCTCATCACAACCTAACCCCCCCCCCCGTAGGCTTCTTAACAAATGCTAAAATTATCACCAATATCAAAAGATTCGTTGGCCCACCCTTGTCTTGTGCGGAAGATGCCCAGGGTGAGCCAACTGAACATTTATACATATAGTCATATAGGTTTTAAAAATTTTCTGATTGCAAGCAGAATCTTCATCATTGATCTACCATGCACCTGAGGTTATAGTCCTGGGATCCGAAACCAGAAGAGTTTTGTAGTTCATTCGTCCTTGTGAAAATACGGCATAGTTCCAGTCTGGAATTTTTGGTCCACAGAACACTTGTTGGTTTCTCCTGAAAGTGTGAGAAATGTTGTGTTTTTAAAAACGATTTTGATATCTATGCTGGGAAAGGGTTCACCATAAATGGTTTGGCTGAGTTGCACGGATTTTACAGCTTTGGGATGCAAGGGATTATAGTTTATTCTGTATTTATTTTGCTCCTTTGTATTTTCAAAAACATTTTTTCTCCTTGAAGTTAATGTCATTCTGACTTGCTGGTGTGGGCCAAGGTTTTGCATATTTGAGAGAAAGTGAAGGGCGAATTGCCAGGCGTGTTGGATTTTTAGAATTTTAATTTCTTGTTCACCAGTTTCCATTTCATCTACAAAGATTCCCCATACTTGACGGATACTATAGTGTGATTGCAGCCTGTGCTGAGTAAAAAGTGGCTTCTCTAAGCAGAAGTGAAAACGTTTATGCTAGATTCATAACGTCATGTGCCCTGATGTTTTCATCCTGAGAACTGTTGTGAACTAAACAGACTGGTGTACATGTTGTCTCTAAGTCTCTTCTATTTTTTCTACAACCCCCCCCCGCCTCACTGCTCAGTTCACCCCTCACATGCTCTATCCTGCAACATCAACATCCTTCCCAGCCCCTCCTCCTCAGCTTCTCCATACGTTGCCTGTCATCATGTCGGATATATTATATATATTCTATACATATATATATGCGTCTTGTGTACATAGCCTGCGTGTACAGTGGGCCCGGTGGGCTTGTGTTGTGGCTCGTGCGGGAGCCCGTCGTCCCACCGGGCCGTGCTGTGAGACCACTCGCCCACACTCACCTCTATCTGTCACCGCCCGTCTGGTCCCACGGGGACTGCCCTGGCCCACGCTCGTGTGGTGGGCTGGTGTAGCTGCCCCGTGTGGTGGGCTGGTGTAGCTGCCCCGTGCGGGGTGGTGGTGTGTGTGGGTGTGTGTGTGTGTGTGTCTCACAGCCCCCCCTCCCCCTCCCCCTCTCAGTTCTGGGTTTTTATTTCATTCTGTTTGTGTTGTAACCTGAAAAATTGTGTCAAATAATAGAAGAAAAATTTTCTGCTTTGAAACTGGAGTTGTGTGGCTTATTTTTTTGTCATGGTGTGATCTGGTGTCCTGTGTGTCCTCTCTCTTCCCCCCCTCTCCCCCCCCTCCCTCCTTCCTCATACGTGTTTGTGTTTATGATAGCCTCCTTAAGTTGTGAATGCTTTGTTTTTTTATCTCTGTGTGTGTGTTTTGTTGTGACACTCAACTCTTGTCTGTGGTGGTTGGTGGGTGCTCTTCTCCTTCTTTTTTGTCAAACATTTATTCTCTTTATCTCACCGGTCCTTCTTTTCTGTTATGTGTTACTCTCCAGTAACATCTATCATTTTCAGCTCTTTATAACTTTTTGTTTTTATGTGCTGTTGTGTGGTTTGCTTCTTCTTTCCTATTGAACAAAGGAAGGAGAGGAAGCTCCTTTTTGAGTGGCGTGCAACACATACTTTACAGTTCAGCACATCCTAACGGAATGTGTAGACTTCAATGATGTACGGACAAAATACTTTAAATGTAAAGATGTCAAAACTCTTTTTGACATTGTTAACCTGAGAAAAGTTTTGAGTTATGTTAAAGAAATAGGACTGTTTAATAGGATATAAAAATATGTAGTTATCGTTGTCCGTGTATATAAATCATGTACATACACTGAAATAAATATTGTAATGTATATATATATACAAATGTAAATAAGTCTTTACCATATTTACAAACATTTTCATAAATGTCTGTCTGTCCTTTTAGCATGATGATGATATTATGACAGTGTGCAGTTGCGAGCTCCGAAAAACTCTTACTGAAACATGACATGATCCTAGATTTGTTGCGGTGAAACCTATTGGCACTTAAATGACCAAAATTGAGTCGATGGTGCCGTAAAACACCTACTCAATCAATCAATCTGCAAAAAAAAAAAAATCAAATCCTATCGAACATCTATCATCCAGATCTCACTATAAAGGTGCGAGTCTACCATTTTGTTGAGGGCAAGAAGGCCAGTCTGTACACTGCCAGTAACAACAGTTTAGTGATAGTGTGATGTGTTATAACGTTCGGCCTCATGGGCTTCACAGCGACTATCATATATATTATACATGCACATTGTTTCATTCTTGCAAACAGACACTCCCCGACTGCTTTGTTGAAGCAAAAAGACCTATCAATGCACACATCAGTGATGAGATGCCGACTCCCCTACCACCTGTATAATAACTAACCCTACAACGTTAATCGATTATCTCAAAAGTTTGATTACACGCATAGGCTTATCGCTTAGAAATCCATGTACTTGATTAGCCGGATTCCGAGAATGCTATAGGCCTAGACTTGGATAACCACCAGACCTAGTCAACTCAACGTCATACAGCTAAGGTAAAAATTGCCAACTGAACAAGTAGTAGTGGGCGCCGTGCTTTATCGCTCACGATAAGGGCATCCTGTTTGACTGGTTTTGTTCATGTAAATGATAAGATGCATCAAATAGGCTTACTTGTTAATGACCAAGACAGATGGAAAACAACAACAAAACAATTAGATCAGTTCAGTAGCACGTACGTAGTATAATTAAGAGGTGTTATTGACATTTCATCACATGTAGGCCCTACTGTTTTTTTCAAATGGTTCAAATTCAAACTCCTTTCTTTGAGTTGTGTGACACCTCGGTTTTTTAATGGCCTAACCTTTTCTAAGCTCCGAAGTGGCTTAGTTGGCCGAAAAGGTTGCTGAACCATGCTCTACTTCTGTCAGGCTAGGCGCGCACAGGGCAACTTTAGTCGCCCAAATGTAAACAATGAAAGAGATATTAAGCACCTCGCGAACAGGCAACTCGGGTTTTTGGAGACTGACAAGTTTGTGTTTTGTCACAACTTTCCGGCAACGCAACTGTAGCTCAAATCTCCTGTGCTACATACCTAACTGACACACAGCACGCACAGGCAACCAAACTGTCTTTCCTCTTCTGGAATGCTGCTCCCCCAGTTGGTATTTCGATACGTAAAGTAAATGAGGGTCCCACGAGACGTAAACGTTCAATAAAACTCTGAGCTCATACGATAATAGTTTTAAAAAACTCAAATCTTTATGCAGTTTGACAAGATGCCCTTTAAAAAACCTCTGATTGGTCAAAGGGTGAACCCAAAACCGCTTTTTCCTTTTCTTCTTTCTAAGTGCTATCACAAGAGCACAGACAACAACTGCGTCGTGGAAGTCCAAGGCGTCAAATGAGGAAGTCAGTACAATTTGTAATGATGATAGCCTACTGTTGCCTGGCTGTTGCTCAGCTCTGTGCGCGCGGTGTACGAAATAAGTTGCCCGGAGACAGCAAATGTTGCGCAACTAAAATGGCCCTGTGCGCGCCGAGTCTTATGGCCTTGTGTTATATCAGCACATCTGCCTTGTCTTTTCCCTGCACTATAATAATTTATAATAATAATGATAATAAGATGAAGGTTATTGAGTCCATGTGGGCGGTTAGAAGGCGCCACTGGTAGGTCCTACTTCTTCACATTTCCTCTGTTGTTTCTGTCTGTCTGTCTGTCTTCGTTTTCCCCAGCATTAAATAGTCATTATTGAGTCTCTATTGTGCTTCTCTTTACTCAAACGAACAATCAAACAGGATACCACGGCACCATGATTGACTTTTCTCCTTCTACTTCTTGTGTTATCTTTGTTAAAGCTACCTCCCCCAAAACCCCCAAAAACAAAACCCCCCCCCCCCAAAAAAAAACAACCCCCCAACATTTCCCGCTTCACGGAGTGGCCCTTCTTGTGTCAACAACAGCAAGGCAGACCTCGAAATGAACGCCAAACAAAACAAAAGAAAAACAAAGTCAAAAAACAAAACAAAAACAAAAACAAACAAAAAATGTTGAACAAAGAGTCCCTGTAGATCTACTTCTCTTTACTCGAGCAAACAAACAGAACAAAAAAAAAAAAAAAAGATTGAGTCGACGATGTGCTTGACTTTATTCACACAAACATTCTCTTTCTCTTTCTCTTTCAACCGTGGCGTGAATCAATGAATGCTTGCGTCGACATGCCGTGGACGGAAGAAACTAGTGTAATGTGCCGAGAACTGAGCATACGATCGATGACCGCCAAGTTGTTATATCAATGTTTGGCGCCCTGTGGGCTTTTTTGTTGTTGGAAGTAATGGAAGTGGTTATGTTAATCTCACCAGGGGTGAGAAAAGCCTATGGCACTATGTCTCTCTATTCTCACCCCCCCCCCCTCAAGCCTCAAGTGTGTTAGCACACTGTAGGCCTGTAGTCTCTCTCTCTCTCTCTCTCTCTCTCTCTCTCTCTCTCTCTCTCTCTCTCTCTCCCTCTCTCTCTCTCTCTCTCTCTCTCTCTCTCTCTCTCTCTCTCTCTCTCTCTCTCTTTCTTTCTCTCTCTCGTTCTTGCCCCCCCCCAACCCCCCGGGCCACGCACAATCGTACAAGAATACTTAATCACAATAATAGCAGATCTGACTATAGACGATGTAAAATTGAGCAACAAAAAAGCGGTTACCAGATCTAGACATATCAGTGTAATGCACAATGTCTTGATGATCTTATAGGCCTCACCCCCAAACCTTGGAACTGCCTCAGTGAGAACCTTACGTAACCCTATCCGTACGCCCTGGGGTCATTTTGTACCCCCGGGGTTGCATTTTTCACATTTTAGAATACTTCTTGTACAAAGATCTCTTTGAAACTTTCAGTCAGTATTTCTCAAAAAATCATTTTGACAGACTGCTATGCAAAACGTACGGATCGGATTAACGAGTAAATTTCCTTTTTGGAGAATGGTGGCTCAGAGTTCCCCACGTCGAATGGATACGATAGTAAAACATGACCTACGGATAGGGTTAATTTCTCTCCAGCAGAGCAGTCAACACTGAAGCAAAGTGCTCTATTAGTGATGTGTTTGCTTAGACCGGAAGCAATATGAAACGACCAATGGCTGCCATTTTTATTCCTTTGTTGTGAAACCTAACGCTGGTCAGGCCTGTAGGCCTACTCTGTGCCTTTAAAATTGAAAAAAAAGGTATTTTCGTCGGCCCTGTGCACTCTCCCCCCTCCCCCCCCTTTCCCTTTCCAATTGCTTCACATTCCTTCATCTGGTCTACTTTTTGCGACTGTTATATCCCTCCATGATCTATGATACATTTTAACATTCTGCACTTTGTTGCACTCTCCAAAGCCCAATAATCTATTATTATTGTAAAGTCCCCCCCCCCAAACAAACAAACAAACAAACAAACAAAAACAACAAAAAAAACCCACCAACAACCAGAAACAAAAACAAAAACAAAACAAAAACCCCACACAAAAACAACAACAGCAACAAACATACAAACAATGCACCGTGTTTTTCGGTAAGTGTTTTACGGCGCTTGCAACTGCATTAGGTCATATGAGCGCGCGGGACACATTAAGCTTTTTCAGTTGGTAGGAAACTTAGAATTTTGCCCGGGTGGCGGCCGAAGCCTACTCTTATCGATTTAAGATCACCAAGGGATCTTAACAGGCGCAACTTGCACACGGTCCCTCCGAGATTTTTCGTCCTTGTCCGTGGAGGCTAGGTGTAGATCTTTCCTACCATAAGATCAGGGTGTGTGGCTGAAAGAAAGCAGTAAGAAGGAGCCAAGTAGTAGCAGTAGAAAGGCTACAGAAAGAGTCAGGAGCCCAGAGGAAGGGACAAAGGAGATGAGGTGGGGGCAGAAAGAGGAGACGAAAGCAGACGACAGAACATTGCTTGAGAGCAGGAAAGGAGGTGAAAGGGAACAATTTTAGAGAAGAAAATGTTTCGGTCTCTACCCGGATTCGAACCCGGGACCTTTGTATGAGAGGCCAACACCTTAAGCTCTAGGCCACGAGAGCCCTCAAACAAGGCACAGATAACACAGCAGAAACCAAATATCAAACAAGAAATAAAAGTAACTACAAAACAAAGCACATCTCCCCCTTCCGAAAAAAATAAATAAAGTTAAAACAAAATGACCAAATGTGAGGCACCGTGGTGGAATCAGGCTCTCGTCAATTTTGGGGCATGTAGAGTTATTGGTATTATCTTAAAGCTTGTTCACTTGTCTTTTTTTGAATGAAAAAAAATATCCATTTATCTTGAATACAAGTCGAGATATTTGCGAATGAAGGAGGTGGAGGTCACCTGTTTTCAGAGGTAAAATTAGTGAGAAAATGGTCTTCAAAGATAAGTTATTAAGCTTAAGAGTCCATGGCAACTGAAAATTGACATTTATTGTACTTTTAATCAACGTTTTTCAGAAAAATTAACTCAGAAATGAGTTCTTTAATGGGCATGAAAGGTGTTGAACCAAAAAACAAAAATTTGATAAAAATTCACAAACCTGCAGAAAAATGCAAGTTTCTTCACTTTGATTATTTTGACGAGAGCCTGATTCCACCGCACTGCCTCACAAATGAAAACAAAATGACCAAATTGCTTTTTGTAAGTTTTTCTTTTCCTTTGCTTCATATATTTCGAGC